TGGTTCATCTTAAGAGCTGTAGATGACAGAAGCCTCACAAGAGGAACTGGAAACCAGTTCCTGGAGGCCCTGCACTAGGGGAGAGAGAATTCCAGAAACACCTATGCTTTTATCCAGCCTAGGCCTCGGCTACCTCTTGGTGAGAGGGAGGCTTCTGTCTCCAGCATCGCTTTCTTAGAAAGCCAGCCTCTCCAGCCATCACTGTGGCCTTCATCACATGGTGGCCTGGAATGTCATACATGTCTGGCTGCCTGGCTAGCCTCACTCTAGAAGAATGCTGGGTCCTCTGGCTTAGCATGTGACCAGAGCAGGACCAGGACATGTGACATAAAGTCTCTCTTCACTGGGACCACAAACATAAAAATGCAAATCAAGGATCTTTTATTATTATTTTTTCCTTTGCCTCAGGAAGCAATACCCAGGGAGGAAAGCTATTCTGAAAGAAGCTATAAGAGGTGACAGGCACAGAGACTTGATGGCATGTGAGGCACCCCTAATTCCAGCTGTGTCTGGAGAATCTGCCCTTTGACCCTTAGACTTCTCAGCTCAGGAGCCCACGGATTCTTTTATGCTTGAACTGGATTGGATTTGGTTTCTGTTAGGAACTCCAGGAAACGTATGTTAGAAATTCCATATATGGAAAGATGACACTCCTCCTTCCCAGCCGACCTGCCCTCCTCTGCACTCCTGGCTCCCCACCGCTGTCATTGCTCAGTCATCACTGCTTATGCATCCTCTGCCACCACTTACCTCAGACTTGTATCATCTTGCCTGGGTTGTAACAGCTTTCCCATTGGCCTCCCTGACCTCAGACTTATAGACTCTATGCTCAAAGGCAGACAGACAGACAGACAGACACGTTTGCCAAAAGTCTTTCCTACTATGCTGCCCCCTGGAGTGACAGGAGTCTTGCAGTTCTCAGTCTCCTGGCTAAACAAACCCACCTGCTGTTTTTTTTTTTTTTTTTTGGTGGGTGGTGGTGAGGGGCTTTATCCCCTATATCATTAGACCATGGGAAGTCCACGGAAGCCTGAAGACGGAATTTCAGAAAAATTCTTTTTTCCTCATATAAATATAGAACATAGTAGAGCAGACAGTAGAGAAATTATCTACTTGGATATGCAGTTATCAAAATATTTAACCAAATTGCAATATAGTAATATTTCTCTTTCTTTTCATTTCTTCTGATTTTTGTTTTTATTTATTTTACACTTTAACTTTTGAGATTGTAATATAATTACACTTTTTACACTCTTTTTCCTCTATCCAAACCCTCTTATATACTCCTCCTTGCTCCCTTTCAAATTCATGACCTTTTTTTTTCATTAATTGTTGTTATATGCACACACACACACACACACACACACACACACATCCCTAAATATAACCTGTTTAGTTTGAATAATGTTACTCATATGTATGTTTTCAGGGCTGACCATTTGGTACTGGATAACCAGTTGGTGAGCTCTTCCCTGGAAAAGACTGTTTCTCCTGCGCTCAGCATTCCACAGTTACTTGTATTTTGTTGTGTAGGGCTGAGGCCTCATGGTTCTTCCCCCATCCGTTTTACCATGTCTGTTGCTATTGTCATTGTTCTGTTCAAGTTAAGACAGTCATGTTGCCAAGATTTGTGGGTGTGGTTTCTGACAGTCCCATAAGACACAATCACACACTAAACTCCCTGATCTTCTGGCTCTTAAGATCTTCCCACCTCCTCTTCCACAAAGTTCCTTGGGCCGCAGGTACGGGAGCTGTTTTGTACATGTGTCTGCTGGGACTGAGCGTAATAACTCTGTATTTTAATTGGCTGTGGTTTTTTGCAATGGTCTCATCTGCTGCAAAGGGGAGTTTCCTTGCTCAGGGGTGAGAACTACACTTATCTGTGGGCATACAGACAAATCCTTGGACTGTTGTTATCTTCTGGGTTTTGAATCAGAGTGTCACCACATAGCACAGCCTGGCCTGGAATGCCCAATTCCCTTGCCTCAGTCTCTTGAGAGTTTGGGATTATCGGCATGTGCCTTGAAACCCAACTTATATGTGTTTCTTTAATGATGCATTCAGTGCAAAGATATAGCAGGAACGTGATAGCTATTGCAATTTGTAAGCTAGAAAGAGTCCAAATATGGGCTCTGTGAATATAAATGCATTTGCTGCCCAGCCTGATGACCTGAATTCCATCCCTAGACCCACATGGTAGAAAGAAAGAACAGATACCTGAAAGTTGTCCTCTGACCTCTGCATGCCTCCTGTGGCACATACATGCCTGTATCCCATCCCTCACACGCATATCATATATATGCATCATAAATACATTTGATATAAAAAACTATTTTAAAAAAGTATACAAATGGCATTTCAAGTGTCTACAGCAGCTGAAAGGCAGTACAAGAATCCAGGCATTTCCTTGTCAGAGCATGTGCTGTTCTTGTTCTGGTTTGCTGTCTGTCTTTGTAATGCAAATAGTAGGATTTGGCAGGGCTGAGCGAGAATGGAGAGGCAGCCCTTCTTTTCTCAATTCAAAGGCCCATGGACATCTCTCTGTAAATCCCTGAAGTCAAACACCTTTGGCCCCTAGAACAGTCCCCCTGCCTGCAATTCTTGGGACTTTGTTTAACGACATCCCTCAAGACAGCCTTCTCTTGATTAGAGCTCCTGCTCTGTACCCATGGGTTTTCCCCTGTCACTCCACGAGTCACATGTGGTTCTGCTTGTCCATCATGAGCAATGGTGTCATCTGCCCAAGTGACATCTCAGGGCTGGGCTGCAAGTACCTGTGAAGGACAGGGAGATGATCAAAAGGCCACAAGGCCCTGGAATCTACACTTGTCTGACGAAGGCCTTAAGCTGGCCTGTGGCTGACCCTTTCGTCTGAGCATAGAGAGGCCATGAGCAGCTGGTTGTTAGATATTAATGTTAACAGAAACATCTAGCAAACTCCTCCACCTCCCTCTCATCCTCCAAGGAGAATGCTTCCTCTGTGAAGCCCCTCTTCCACATGGGGAACATTGAATCAACGCAGGTAAATAGCCTAACGTGGTTAAGCCTGCCAAACATGAGGAGGGCAGTCGGTGCCTTGAGGGAGTACCCTTACCTGTCTGCACCTCAGTCTCCCCATGAATCTTTAAACCCAGCACAGGAGGCAGAACCTGCAGCAACGCTTTGCCGAGGGCCTACCCTGCTCTGGGCTCTGTGGTAGGTTGCCAGGGTACCCAGTCGATACTCTGGAAACACAGGCTTGCCCACCCCATCATCCACACTCAGTGTACTCTTTCACTGAGTGTGGGAAACATAAACACTTTCTCCAAAGGGCTCCAAAGACAACAAAGCGCTATTCTACTGGAACCCAGCGTGCAGAACCAGAGTTTATTCGATTTACTTACAGAAGCGCTAGCGATCACCCCTTCCTCTCCACCCCCCACCCCAGAAAAAACGCAGCTGGGCTACTGGAAAACACATCTCACTTTCCCTTAGCTGCACAGGTGGGGGTCATCCCCTCCCCACAACCCAACTCGCTTCAACTAATCTTCTGCAGTCTTTAGATACTCTAGCATCACGGAAGACGGCGGCGAGGCTTCACACCATTGGGACAAAATTACATACAAATGGCTGAGAGGTGCAGGAGGGAGCAGCCGGAGACCCTCCCCATCTCCTCCGTCTGTAAGGGAAGGCGGGAAGGCCTCGAGTCAACAGGCCGCACTCCGGGTTCTCTCACAGACAGCACAGCCGCTCTGGGGAAGGTGAAGGCCATTAGGCTCAGAGCATCGAGTTACTCCGCCTGTCGCATGCTGCGCTACAGATGTCCTACTCCCAAATGCTACAAATTTTTTTTTCCTTGTGTACATTACATACTTAATTGCTTGCATATTTCTTTACTCGCTAGCTAGGCTGGGCAGAAATTTGACCCCATTTTTATTGGTGAAAGGACAAGAGAGACAGACTCCAAGAGGTTGACATGACTAGCTTGATGAGCTGGTGAGCAGCGACACCAGCTGCCGGGCATGAAAAACAGAGATCCGAGGAGGTCCCCGTTCCACCTCAAGTCCCTTGCTGGAGGGCTGCTCCGAGTTCGGTGGCCTTGCGATGGAGACCCTGGGCTGGGAGGTGGGCTAGCAATCTTCCAGTGCCGGGGTTCAGCCCCATGGGCCAGCAGGCGAAGACAACGGGTCCTGGACACTGGGGTCCCGGTTGCCCTCGGGCAGAATCGCACCCCGGTCGCTGCCAGACGCTAGGTGGCGCTGCGAGGCCGCCCTGCGCCAGACCTGTTGCGTCCTGTTGGCTCCAGCGGCGCAGGTTAGGGTGAAGGCGCCCACTCAGAGCCGAGCGAGGGTGAGCATCCTCCTGCCACAGCACTGGCCTGGGGGCTGCCAGGTCCAGCTCAAATAGGTGGCACCCGCCCTTCACCCTCTTCACACTCCACAACCCGGTTCTAGGCGCGTCGGGTGCGGCTAGTATAAAACTTTCGCCAACCCGCTTGGGAAGAGGGAGACAGGGAGAGACCCTCCAACTCCAGACCCCCACAGCGGGCTGCGCGGTGTCACCTCCGCCTGGCAGACTCCCGGAAGCCCTGCTGTCGATCAGGCAGTGGAGAGGTGCCGCTCCGGTGCCTGCCTGCAGCAGTGACCCGGGCACCGCCCCCGCCCACCCCTTTGCGGTCCCCATCCCCCTCCCCCGCCTCCCGCGCTAGGGCCCCGGCGTCGCCGGCCCCGCCTGCGCCGGGGTCGCCGCAGTCCCCGCTGCTCGCCCGGGGCTCCCTGGCCAGGCGCCCCAGCTTTATTGTAACCCGGGAGCACTCCTAGGTGGGGGTCGGGGGTGCCGGCCCACCAGAGGCCGCAGCCAGGGACCTCCGGGCATCCCGGTTCCGCGTTCCAGGGAGGCGGCCCCGCAGGGCTGGGCAAGGACGGGGCGGCCGGCGGAGGGGCGGGCGCCGCTCATCAGCCACGCCAGTCACGTCTGGGGCCACCCGGCAGCCCACTGGTGTCTTGCCGGCTGGCCGTGCCACCTCGCCGGGCCGGCGAGGGCAAAGGGGCTGTGGCGACGCCATGCCCGGGCCGGAGTGAGTGAGCGCGGGCGAAGATGGCGTACATCCAGGTAGGACCGTGGCTGGGGGCGACGGCCAGGGGATAGAGGGGACCGCGCCCCCTCCACCAGGAGCGCGCAACGCGGGAGTGCGCACCACCCAGCTCCCACAAACTTACTGGAGAAACACACACACACACACACACACACCATCACCACCACCACCGCCACCACCACCACCAACAAAACAACGGGTGTCCCAGAGCAGGCACCTGTGCGTGTCCTGGAGCCAGGGCAGGACAGATCCCAGTATGGAGGGCCCTGTGTGGGACCTGCACCCTTGCTCTCGCCTCCCTGGAAGGCGAGACCATGGGGTGACTTTGCACACACACACACCCGGGGGCCCTGGCACCCACCCTAGGGGAGGGGCAGCGGGAGGGCGGCCCGGGGCACGCCAGCCACCCGGCCCGCCAGCGCCCGTTGCCGTGGTGACGGCTCGGGCTAATTGGCCGGTGGAGCCAGCTGGAGGCAGCTGTTCAGACCTGGAGGGACAAGGACATCGTTCGCACGGGCACTGGGTGCAGAGGGGTGGGGACATCCAGAGGCCAGGGCACACGGATGAGGGAGGTGGGGACGGTTACTTTAGTCCGAGGGGGGTCTGAAAAGTGCAGGAACCCTCATCCCTCCCACAGAGCACCCCCAAAGACACCCAGAATGGAGAGAATTTCCAAGTTAGCCCCCCCCCCGCAATTTGGAGAGGACAGGTAGGGATGAACTATGCTGCTTGGCCAAGAAACCCTTTTCTTTACAAATTGGGAAGTGGTGACAGGTCATCGCCAAGGTCACATGATTAGATCTCCACCAACCCCACCTACCCCCGCCCCGGCAAACAGATCTGAGGAGCTGCCTGCTCCTAGCTGGAGGGGAGGGGAGCAGAGTAGCTCCCAGGTCCAGGGACTCACCTTTGTCTCCCTATCTCAGCTTGGGGGGAGGGCGAGGGGGGGTGGGGACTGCAGATCTCCTCAGAACCCTTCTGCTCCCTTGTCCTAGCTCCTCAGATGGCCTGTCCCCTGGTGGAACCTGACCCTCTCCTTCTCTGGCTTTGATCCCCAGGAATGGTTTGCTTTTTAAAAAATGGATTGCCTAGGTCCTGATTTCAAGTTCAATGAAGGTCACATTTACTATACATCTATTGTGTCCTGAAAGTTGTTGGGATACTTATTCAGTAGTTGTTCAGTGACACCAATTACAGGACAGCACTGAGGACATAGGTCATAGTCCCTGCCCAAGAGAGTGAGAAGAGAACTGTGAAACAAGCTATCATGGTTCTTCCTTGAATTATACGTTTACTTTTTCTGAGGCAGGCAGGATCTTGCTACGTAGCCCAGGCTAGCCCGTGGTTCTCTGGCTTCCATCTTTTGTCTTCTGAGGGTTGGGGTAACAGTGGTAGGTCACTGCGCTCAGCTACCTGAGCCATGTTTCAGCACGGAGAAGTTAAGTCACTTGCCAAGGTCACACAGCTACTTAGCAGTCAGGGTGAGATCTAAACGGTAGGCTGGGAGGGAGATGGTCAAGTCAGGCATCTCGACAGTCCTGGCTTCTCTCTTAGAAGAAGTCTTTGAACTTCTACGGAACACGGAGAGTAATATTCTTTTTCTTCCGTCACAACTTTTCAATTGGGAAAACAGTAGTAAAGCAAGCACAGAGGGAGATCAGAGAGTGGGCGTGGCTATGTGCCGGCAAAGCTTTATTTCTTTTGGTCAGTGGGTTTCAGAGACTGAGAGTCGGGAAGTCCTTCTCTCCTGGAAGGATGCGCTCCAAGCCAAGGCTTGAGTGACCTGGAGTCGGCTGGCCTCTGTGTGGGATGCCTGGGATTTTCTCTTCACAGTTCCTGGCTTGAATCAGTTCTCCACTGGTAGCAGGAGAGCAAGCCCAGAGGAGGGGATAAGTCAGGATGAGGCCCAGGCCTCGGGGCTTTTTTACTGTCCCCTTTGTCCCTCCCTGCCTTGGGTTGCTCCTGGGCCACCATCTTGTACTGGAGAAAGCTATGCATCCTTGGGGGAGCTTATGGTTCTTTGTTCACCATGGCTGTATAAAAGATCAAATGAATCTCTTGTGACCACCCGTCTCCTGAGAAGAAATCCGGAAATGGCTAGAATGCCATCAGTGGTTGGAAAGCATTACTTCGCATCAAACGTTTCACTTTGTGGTGGTTGGGGAGAACCTGGAAGATTGGGCAGGACCCCACATGCCAGGACATGTGTGACAGAGAACACCGTTGAGAGTTTGTTTTCCACTTCCACCCATAGTCCTGGGGATTTAACTCAGGTCACTGAGTTTGGTAGCAAGGACCTTTACCCACCGAGCCATCATACATGCCCTCACTTGTGTGTGTGTGTGGGGGGGGGAGTGTTGGTTTGGTTTGGTTTGGTTTTGAGACAAGGTCTTGCTGTGTAGTCCTGGCTGCCTCGAATTTACAGCCTCCCTGCCTCAGACTCCTGGAGCCGGGGCGATGGGCGCTCACTCAGCTATGCTCAGTTTATAGTGAACATCTTCAAGCCCTTTCTCAGGCAAGCCCCACAAAGGCAGCTTTTATGGTTTGAACCTGCCAGGGCAGCTCTTGGTGCCCAGGAGTAATCAATTGCAAGATGTTGTCTCAGAAGCCACAGGAAGGCATGTTTATTTTGAGGTTGGGAGCCACACAACATTTTCTTATCGAAGGTCCTGTCTCGTCAAAAGGAGCGACCAGGCTCAGAGCCCACCTCCCTCCCAACTGACTAGGTCATATGCTCTGTGACATGCCTTGCTCTGTGCCTGGCTGAGCTTGGGTTTTGAAGGGCTATGTGATCAGTGCCTTTAAGTGCTTTCCCACGAAACAAACCGTGACACTTCAAGGAGCTTGAGTTTTAGAAGTTCATAGAACCTCCACCTGTGATATTACTTATTTTATTTTTATTCACTTTACATGCTGGTTGAAGCCCCATCTCTCCTCGCCTCCCAGGCTCGCCCTCCCATTTGTGTTATTATTAATCTATTTTGCTTCCTGGAGTTGGACTCTTTTGGCTGGAGTTCAGAACTCCGGCACCCATGTAAAAGCTGAGTGTGGTGGTATGTTACCCTAGTGCTGGGGAAACGGGCAGGAGGATCCCTGTGGCTCATAGGCCGGCCAGCCCTGATGAGCTCCAGATGCCTGATTAAGACCCTATGTCAAAATAACAATAACGTGGAGAGCAACTGAGGAAGACACCTGACACTGACCTCTGGCCTCCACACATACGTGTGAGTGTGTATGTTCATGTGCACAATTAACTGTCTTTGTTTTATTTTAACTTACAAAAAGATTAAGGCCAAGTTGGGGACAATAGTACACGCCTATAATCCCAGGACTTGGGAGGGTGAAGCAGGTGGATGAAGCGTTCCAGGCTAGCTTGGACCACAGAGCTCTACCCTGTGTGGGAACAGCCAGCAGGCAACCAAGCGTGTATGAGGCCTGTGCCGGAAACTGTCACCCATGGGCAAAGGGAGCCAAGATCACATGACGAAAGCAGAAGGCAGCTGGAAAAATAAACACACGGGGAATGCTACAGTGTTAAATCTGAGCTGGGTTGGGCTATCTCCAGCAATTAGAGGGCTCCCCTTGCTTTGTTTACAAGGAAGGGTGAGAGTGAGGGAGAGTCAGAGAAGATGTTAACATCTGGGAACAAACCCAGGCTGAGTCCTCCCTCCTGGCTCCCTGTGCACCCCAGAGCCCTGGTTTGGGTGGCACCTCCCTGCCTGGTCAGCTCTACAATCTGCCCTGGCTGGTCAGCTGCATTTGACACCTGCCTGGTGCGCTATGATTATGTAGTAGGTTTAGTTTTGAATCACAAAATCCTGGGGCTGGGAAGATGGCTCAGCTGGCAGAGTTGCTTGCCACAAAGTCTGATGACCTGAATTTGATCCTTGGAACTGGGTGGAGGAAGTAGACGTGCCCTCTGACCTTCACATGGTGCCCTGGATGTGTGTGACCACACAAAGACACACACACACACACACACACACATGCACGCACACACATGCACACATGCAGAAAAGAAATGTGATAATTAAAGGAAAAAGAGAAGAAATCCTGGCTTCACAGAGGAGCCTCTCCTGGAAGAAGAGGGAGTCTGGGGCTTGGGGACCTATGAGAAGAAGATGGGGTAGGCAGGGAACCACACCAGGGAGGGAGGGCGGGCTCCTGGCTACCTTCCAGCCCCTCCCCCATTTGTGGGTGGTCAAAGGATGCTCTCCACCAGCAGGATTGGAGCAGGATTGGAAGGTAGGGCCCTGACAGGGGCGGGGGAGTCAGCCTGTCAGTTTAGCTACTCAGGCCCTCTCGGGTTGGCTTCTGGCTATTTCAGTCTGGGAAGGTTTGCAAGTCCCCTGAAGTGGGGCTGTGTGTTGAGCAGCATGACGCTCCGTCTACCCGCTCTGATTCATAACAGCACACGGTGCACACCAAATGGAAAAGCTCACACTTCCCGTTTATTCGCTGTTAGTTAACCAAGAGGCTCCCAGCAGCCCTGCAAACATAGACATACCTTGGTAGTAAACTCTGCTCCCTCCCCAGAATGGTGAGTGTGAAGACGAAGGGTGCTTCTTTCTGTTGTTTTTTTCTTTTTTTTGTCTTGCTGTTCTTTAAGTTGCTGGAATATTGCTAAACTGGTCCTCTCTCTCTCTCTCTCTCTCTCTCTCTCTCTCTCTCTCCCTCTCCCTCCCTTCCTCTCTACCCTTCACCCTGGCTTCACCGTGGCTCTCTAAAAGGGCAGTTGGAACCACTGAACGAGGTGGGTTAATTCAATCATCTGTTTGGTCTGGATTCTAATCGAATGCTTGCCTTTCCGTGCGGAGTCTGGCGTGGGGCTGGGGCATGATGGAATACTGAGTCACAGGATATTGACAAGGGTACAGTTTCTAGCCCTTTCTACCAAAAGGGAGACCCTGGCAAAAGGGACATCACTGGACAGACAGTGTGTGTGTGTGTGTGTGTGTGTGTGTGTGTGTGTGTGTGTGTCCCAACTCAGCCGGACACCCCCAGTTTAGTTGCATGTCCCTGGGGCTATTTCCCCCCACCCACCCACCCCCACCAAGTATCTTTTCCTTTTGCCAGGAGAGAACCCTGTGCATTGTGTGTTTAAGAACATATTGTCTGGCCCTCTGCATGTTGTAATAAACACCCACCTGTCAAGAAAGGCACACACATAAACCACAAAGGCAAACACCTGCAAGTGTTTTGCTTGCTGGAAGGGCTGCAGCCTCTTCTGTTTGCCGTCTCGTGCCCACAGTGAATAAATAGGAGAGGGGGGAAAATGTGTTTGTTTTTTTTCTCCTATAAGCAACTCTGCTCTGGGGTGCTTATTTATCATAGGTGGGAGAATCCCCCGGCTGCTTGTAACTTGGGGTGTTCTCTCTCCCCCCCCCCACCATCCCCAATGGCCCCAGGGCTTTCTTTCCAGAATCTCTGATGTGCTGCTGTGTGGTTGGACTTGTCAACACTGCTGTCGAAGGTGCTACGAGTCCAGCTGCTGCCAGTCCAGTGAGGATGAAGTGGAGATCTTGGGACCTTTCCCTGCCCAGACTCCTCCGTGGCTGTGAGTAACCAGCTTGGAAATTTACCTCCCAGCAGCCTCTCCGCTGGAGGGCGGGCAGGGATGGAGGGAATAGGCTGAGTTTCCATGGACATAGCCGAGAAGGGCTTCTCTGTGCCCCCTCATTTTGTGGGCCAGCTGGTGGCACCAGCTGGTGGCAGGGCTCTGCTTAGCCATCCTCACACAGAGCTTCTGAGATGCCAGCCAGGCAGTGCTAATCTTGGGGACACTGTAAGTAGCCTTGGTATCCAAGCAGAAAAAAAAGACCTGGGTTTTTTTTTTTGAAGAACTTTTTGAAAGCAACAGCCCTCAAAGGAGGACCAGGGTCTGAGTGTCCCCTTCCCAGGAAGCATGGCAAACTGCCCTAGTACTCAGCCCCGGGCCTGCACCAAGTACATGCTCAGGGACTCTTAGCTGCTAGCGCCTTTCTGGTGCTGCCTTCTGGCTGGCCTGAACAAGGCCCGTACACCTGGGACCACAGGGATGGATGCCTGAGCCCAATCTGCCTCCGATGCTGGTGGTGCTCACTCTGGCTTTTTTTTTTTTTTCTGTCATGTTATTTCTAATATGTTCCCCTCCTGCACCCGAATACAACGTCTCCATCTGCCAGTCGCTCAGATATTTTGGGAATGTAATTCTGAAGCTCAGCCACATGTCTGATCCACCTCTCTGTGGCAGGGAGAGGGATGTGGTCAGGGACTAGGGAGGAGCCAGGAGACCAGGGTTGGGAAAGACCTAGAAATAATCAACAGCAGCTGCTGGGGACTCTGGTAGGGAGGCCCAGAGAGGAGATGGTGCTGGGTGCAAATGGAACGCAAGGGTAGCGCTTGGAACTGCCTCAGCTGAGTGTTGAGCTGAGATCCCGAAAGCCCCCGGAGCCCCATCTTTCCTCTGGGTTGGAGGTCATGCCATGTGTGCTCTTCTTAGAAGTAAGTTCGAGACATCTCCAGAACACAGTGGCTTCATGTCAGCCTATGTGAGTTGAAGTTCAGTGTCTAAAAAAGCTTTCCAGCCCTTTGACCCTAGGAAAGTTTGCTTGACTCTTTTGAGCCTTGGTTTCCCAACTGTAAAATATGATGGTTGGAAAAAAATTGTATTTACCACACAGGTCTGATGAATTTGTGTTTAGAAAAGTACTTAAGAGTGCTTGAGGCTTTGTTGATGGTTAAAAGAGGAACATTTGTTTATTTGTTTGTTTGCTTATTTAGACAGAGTATCACTATGTAGCCTTGGCTGGCCTGGAACTCTCTTTATAGACCAGGCTAACATTGAACTCACAGAGATCTGCCTGCCTCTGCCTCCTGGGTTCTGGGATTAAAGGCATGGACCACCATCCCTTGCTTATTTTTATTTTTTAAGACAGAATCTCATGTAGCCCAGGCTGGCCTTGAACTTGCTTTATAGCTGAAAATGACCTTGAACTTCTGATCTGTCTGCGTCTACCTCCTAAGTGCTGGAAGGACAGGCACATGCCACCTTACAGGGGCCTATGCATGCCAGGTAAACATCCCACCAACTGAGCTATGTTTCCAAGTCTTGTGAGTGCAATTTTAAAAAACCCTGATTTGGCTTTGATTTCCTTAACTAGAGGATGAGAATAGTAAAATAACATGTTTTTAAAGGCTGTAATAAAGAGTAAATGAAGAAGGCTAGCCATAGTAATGCATGCCTTTAAGTCCAGGACTGGGGAGGTGGAGGCAGGAGGATTGTAAGTTCAAGACCAGCCTGAGCTACCTAGTGAGACCCTATCTCAAAACCAAATGAATATGAATGAGCTGCCTTCAGAATGCATTTATCCCAGGAGCAAGAGATCCCTAAGCATTCCTTTTGTCATTGTTGGGTGTCAACAGAATCCCTGCACTGCTCTTGAGAACACGGTTTGTCTCTAAGTTGTGGCCTAACTCAGTAGGTGGTCACAGAGCTGCGATGTGAGAGATGGTCCCATTTCCCATAGGGCCTGTGTAGCAGAGTGGCTCAGGCTTTTTGGATCCTAAAAGCCACACATCTTAGCCACTCAAAGGAGTAACTGTTGCCCAGCTACAGTGTCACAGTTGCGTTCCCAGTCCTAAAGATGGAGAACAGAGGATCATGATGCGTCCAAGCCAGCCTGGGCCGCACAGCAATGCTCTGTCTCAGAAAGACAAGGGATGGAGCTCAGCGCTGGCAGCAGGAGTGAGGCTCAAGGTTTGGTTCTCAAACTGGAGCCGAAACAGAAGGGGAAAAAAAGCATCCAAATATACACATGCATGCCTAAACGTGTGAAGTGTGTCCGTGTATACAATCCGGAAAGCCTGTTGACAAACCTATAGGAAGAAACTGAAAGCACTGTGACCCAGCCGTCATCCCAGGGAAGTGAGGCTCAGTTTCCTTGGACTTCTTGTCCCTCGTCCTCCTTGATCTTTGGTGCATGGCGTGTACACATGCGTACATTTTTGTGAGAGTGTGTGGAGGTCATGGGGCAGCCCCAAGCCTTCACTTTCTACCTCCTACCTGCATGCTCCCGGCTAGCTGGCCTGTGACCTTCCGGGGAATTCCCCGTCTCCTCCTCTGATCTGAGGGCAGGGGCGCTGGCTTTCACGAGGATCTGAACTGGGGCCCTTCGCATCATCTGGCAGGCGTTATCCACTGAGCCAGCCTCCCCGCCCAGCGGTTACTTCTTTGAGTGCACGCTGCGTGAGGGTCACTGTCATCTTCCCGAGGTTAGACGGGCTTTTGTGAATAGGCTCAGGTACATAAGACAGGTGTGGGCGTGAGGTTGCTCCCCACCCCCACCCCGTGCCGAGTCATACTTCATGTAATGGCATTGTGGGATGCACCATCTGGAGTGGGACAGTCTGCAGTGTGGACAGCTGTACATGACTTTCCTGCTTCCCAGGGTGGACCGGGCTCCCCCAGACCCTGAGTAGCACCTCACTGATTTTTGGCCTCCAACACACCGTAAAGTAGAACAGGACTCTGTATGGGGGGGGAGGGGAAGACGTGGGGAGGCAGCTTATAGTTTCTCCAGCTTTGTTTACCAAGTGGGCAGTTGCATGTTTATCAAACAGACAGGAAGGAGAAATGTCAAGTGCTCGGGTTGGGCAATGCTGTTCCTGCCATGACATCTGGGGCCCGTCTCCGCACAGTGACGTGGGGGGGGGGGGGCGAGCCGGCCTCTGTGTGTTCTGTGTGAGCTCTCTGGGGACGCTGCACTCATTGTCATGTGTGTTAATGCCATACGGTCAGGTGAGGAGGATCTTGGTGACTGCACTGTCTACCTGGCTCTGTGGAAGCAGTTCCAGGAGGATCCTTATGGGAGAATGAATGAAAGCCGAGTTGTTTGCATGTCGAACAAGCCTAAATGGAGTGCCTACTGTATGCATGGCTCTCGTGAGTTGCATGGGGTGGGGGGTGGGGATACCCAGCTGTGGCAAGGAGCCTGAGTCTGGAATGGAGCATAGCTGAGATTTTCCTGGGACGCTATGGTTCATCAACAGGCCAATCAGCTCCCGTCACAAGCTTGCATTTCCCATCTGCAAGGGAGGGGGTTCGTAACAGCTGGCTGCAGGATTACCTGGAGAATGGCCTAAGACGTGAGGTGGGCACCGTAGGTGCCACTGACTGCTGTCTGTCAGCTTTGATCAGTGAGTGCAGATCTCATTGTTCAGGAGTGACAGGATGCTTCAGTGTTGCTGACCCCAGCTCATTCTGGGATGTGGAAGATAAGCCAGGGAGCTGTCCCTGAGGATGAGCGTGCAGCACTGAAGAGAAGAGAGCTGTACGGGGAGGGATGGAAAAAGGTCACAAGGGTGGGACTGCAGTCTTTGGAGGACGGGCCCCTGAAGCAGAAACTCTACTGGTTAAAAAGCAAACAACAACAAAAACTGGGCAAGGAAAGAGCCTGGGAGAGAACTTTAGGCGGAGGGAACAGACAGGGTGTCTGGGGGAGCACAGAGGCGAGGCGGCCCCTGGCCTCACAGGTGCTTGTGTCTGAGTGGTTCCAAAGGGCGATGCCATTTAAGCTAAAGGACACTGAAGGTGTGTGGTCTCGTAGGAGGAGGTGGCCATCATGGTGAAGCTTGGCATTTGGGAAGCAGGGCCACAGGTGGGTAGGGGTCCAGGGCTGCTGCTCTGCTCTAAGGGAAAGTTGCTCCAGTTTGAGCCTGTCCCCTGTCCCCATGTTCCTGCCCCAGACATCTCATCTCCTGCCCACACACAGCCAGCAGCTGTCCAGTCCCCCTCTCCAGCCTGTCTTGTCTGGCTGTCACCTTTCATCTCTCTGGGAGTCCTTATATTCAGCCCCAGCTCACCTGTTGGGTGTCTCTGAAGACTCTCTAGAATTCAAAGCTTGCAAGTTTTTTTGTTTGTTTGTTTTGTTTCAAGACATGTTTGTTTCCTTGTAGACTTAAATGTCAAGTTGACAAGGTGTGGTTGGGGCAGCCTTAATCAGCCATTAGGGCTCAGGGTGCGCCATGCACACTACCGAAAACACCCACATCTTTGAAGGCTCCCCTCTCTGTCTCTCCCAGCCCCAGCACCCCCACCCAGCTTACATACTGGGGAGACTTCATTTTCCTTACCTGTTTGAGACAGGTCTTTCTTTGTAGGCTGATCTCAAGCCCACAATTCTTCTGCCTCAGCCTCCTAGGTGCTGGGATGGCAGGAACACACCAGGTCCAGCCTGAGGGTCTCTTAAAGCCACCCCTTGTTCTAATGTACCCAACTATGTAGTGTTCGATGCTTGTTAACTCATTCTGAGAGGTCAGCAGCCAGAGAAGGTGGCATGGTGGTCTTCCCATTTTATAGATGGAGAAAAGGAGGAACAGTGAGGGGGAAAGGAATCACCCAGGGTTACTTAGCTAGAGTTCCAACCGAAAGCATCTGTCTGTCTGTCCATCCATCTACCTTCCTGTCCATCATCTATCACTTATCATCTCTCATCTCCTTCACCATCTGTTTCTCTGAGTCTTGCCCAGGCCTCCCCCAGTTCCCTAGCATCTCCTGTCTTCATTAGCATCGTGTTGAGTCATTGCTACTGCTAATCTGTAACTGCTTCTCCACTTCCAACTTCTCTTCTCAAGCCATTGATTCATGGGTCCATTTTGTAGCCATCCTTTGGCCCCTCTGCCCTTGAGTGACATTGCAATGGTGTATTTTTAAAGGATGTTAAATCAGAGCCCTGGAGACTATTGGGACAGAAGGACATATGTGCCCAAGATCTACTAGATTGACAGGTCTCCAGTGTCAGTCCACCCAATGTCACCCCCATGTGGGAACAGTGCAACTCTGGAGCCATTCTAAACCAAGGGATGATACCTTTGACTTATTTTGGTTTGTGCAAAAAACACGACTCTAGCTCCATCGTTCCAAGCAATGTTGTATGGGCCAGAGGCTACATTATCACCACGCAGGCCCCAAGCTGGGAGTCCCTGTGCTCAGCCACTGGATGCTTGCCCGTGGTTTGGGAAAGGTACAGGGAGTCACTAGACTGTGGGAGAAAGCAGAGAGCAGGTGGAGGCCCTCAAGGGACTTTGATGAGGGTTGCCTCAGCAGTCGCTGAAACCCCCTCTCCTCTTCCAGACTGGCCAGCCGGAGCAACGACAAGGATGGGGACTCTGTCCATACAGCCAGTGATGTTCCTTTGACCCCAAGGACCAACTCCCCTGATGGGAGACGCTCATCCTCAGACACATCCAAGTCCACGTACAGCCTGACTCGGAGAATCTCCAGTAAGTGCCTGGGGACAGTTGGGGCGGATGGGGCATTCTCTTAGAACAGGGGAAAAAGCTAGCTGACCATGGAGGCTCATGCCAGGAATGCCCACACTTGGGAGTCTGAAGCAAGGGAATCCAGGACAGCCTGGTAGCGTGTGAGTTCCAGGCCAGCCTGAGCCACAGAATGAGACCCTGTTTCAAAACAACAATGGTAATGTTTACACTCGGGTGGTTGACTCAGGAAAACATATGCAAGGGCTTGAAACAGGGAGACCAAGGAGGCTATTGCATTTGTAGACCTCATGTTTTCCATCTGTTAGTAGCCCAACTGGGCTTTCACCCAGGCATGCTGGCCCCAGGGTTCACCCAGCTAAGGTGGAGCCACGTTGCCCCTCAGTTGGGAGGGCAAAGCCTCCCTTCTGGTTCTTGAGCTTGCAAGCGTGGGGCTCTGGAGGCCAGGCACAGTCTATTCCTTCATCACTAAGGCGGGCTAATGTCTCATCTAACAGTCGAAGGGGTTGTGAAAAAGCAGACGGCTCAGGGCATAGCATCCATTTAGAGTGCTCCCTGGCCCCAGGCAGCTCTGGTGACTTGCAATGGCAATGCTCCTGCGGCCACCACTTCTCACGGTAAGTCAGGATGCAGTTATCTTTCTGTATGCACGCGTTCTGCACCCTCCGGTCCAACCAATCCCAGCACTTGGAGGCTGAGGTAGAATTGTAAATTCAAGGCCAGCCCAAGCTTTGTAATGAATTTCAGACCAATTGAGGGCTAGTTAGCAAGACCCTGTCTCAAAGAACCAAGGGGGAAAAAAGATCGTGTGTGTGTGTGTGTGTGTGTGTGTGTGTGTGTTCATACTTAACACAAACTTTCTGTTCATGTCTTTATTACCTAACAATATGGTGTAATAGCCAAGCCTGGTGGTGCAGGCCTATGATCCTAGCTATTCAAGAGGCTGAGGCAGGGGGATTATGAATTCAAGGCTAATTTGTAAAAAAAAATGAAGAGAGGCCTAGACCTGCAGCTCAGTGGTAGAGCCTGGTCTAGATACACGAAGCCCTGGACTGAATTCACCATACTTCAGGGAAAATAAAAGAACATGGGAAGTGTTGTTTCGCGACATTTGTGTTGCACTTAGCGTGGTAAGGCCTTTCAGCACTGGGAGACAACGTCATCTTCAAGTATACTGAGCTGCATTCGTAGCTAGCCTGGGCTGCCTGTTGCTTGTGGGCTTCAGACTGGATATGTATGAACATATATGGATACATGCATTGGTTATATATTGTTCTTTGGCATTTATCGTGTGTGTGTGTGTGTGTGTGTGTGTGTGTGTGTGTGTGAATGTATACCCCATGGTGCACGTGTGGAGGTCTGAGGATAACTTTTGGGAGCCAGTTCTCTCTTCTTTCCACCGTGTGGATTGAACTCAGGTCCCCAGGCTTGTTGGCAAGCGTCTTCACCTGCTGAACCATCTTGCCAGCCACCGTGCTGTTTCATGTTCGGGCTTTGAGCATCTGAGGGTTTAGGTATGTCAGAGGTCCTGAAACGGATTCCAGAGCTCGTGGAACACCTGAATTTCCAGTGTTCCCAGAAGAGTCCACTGAGGCAGAGAAGCCCCCTCGGGCGTCTGGGGACCTTTGCAGATGACAGCAGGTGGCCAGTGGTGGTGACCGTTGTTCTCGGTGACTGTTTAGGTCTGGATTCCCGGCGCCCCAGCTCCCCGCTCATTGACATCAAACCCATCGAGTTCGGCCTCCTCAGCGCCAAGAAGGAGCCCATCCAGCCATCCGTGCTGCGCCGGCCCTACACCCCCGACGACTACTTCAGGAAGTTTGAGCCCCGACTCTACTCCCCGGACTCCAACCTGGATGACGTGGACTGCCTGACCGACGAGGAGCTCATGGCCAAGTACCAGCTGGGTATGCTGCACTTCAGCACCCAGTATGACCTGCTGCACAACCACCTCGCCGTGAGGGTGATCGAGGCCCGGGACCTGCCACCCCCCATCTCCCACGACGGCTCCCGCCAGGACATGGCCCACTCCAACCCCTACGTCAAGATCTGCCTGCTGCCCGACCAGAAGAACTCCAAGCAGACGGGAGTCAAACGCAAGACCCAGAGGCCCGTGTTCGAGGAACGCTATACCTTCGAGATCCCCTTTCTGGAGGCGCAGAGGCGGACCCTGCTGCTCACGGTGGTGGACTTTGACAAATTCTCCCGCCACTGCGTGATCGGCAAGGTGGCCGTGCCCTTGTGCGAGGTGGACTTGGTGAAGGGCGGCCACTGGTGGAAGGCTCTGATCCCCAGTTCGCAGGTAAGCCTCGAGTTTTGCCGCGTCGCCCCTAGGAATTCTTTTTCCTGTTTTTTGTGTGTGTGTGGTTTTTTTTTTAATTGATATTTTAACTTCTTTCACTTTTTCAGTTTTTCCTTTGAAGCTGGGTGTGGTAACACGTTCCTGTAATCCCAGCACTGGGGAGGTGCGATGAGGTTCGGAAGCTCAGGGTCACCCTTGGCTAGGTAATGAACTTGAGGATAGCCTGGGCTACATGTGATCTTGTGTCACAAAAAAAAAAAAAAAAAGCCAAAGGGAAGAAATATTTTGTATTTGAGTTGTTTTTATTGTGAAACAGTTTTATGCGCTTACGAAGTTTCAAAAACGGCACAACGCTCTGATTGTCCCCTTCTCCCTTGTCCCCAGAGCAGTGTCTCAAGCTCAGAGAATAAGCTATGCCACAAAACGCTGTGAACTAGAGTAGACCAAGTTCAGATTCCGGTGGATTTTACACATGCCTCCCTCCATATGTGTGTGCGTGTGTGTGCGTGAGTGTGTGTGCATGGGCATACATGTGGATGTGTGGGAGAGAGAGAGAGAGTAGTCCTATGAAATCTTTTTACTCTTTGGTATATGTGTGGCGGTACACGTGTGTGTCGTGTCTAAGGTGTGTGAATATGCATCTGTGTGGAGGCTGGAGGAGGAAGTCGTGTGTCCTGCTCTGTCCCTCTCTGCCTTATCTCTTTGAGTCAGGGGCTCTCACTGAACCCGGCAGCCAGCAAGCCCCAAAGATCCTCCTGTCTCATTCCCTACAGCACAGGAGTCACAGGTGTGCACAGCCATGCCTGGGGTTTCAGGTGGGTTCCACGGTCCAAACTCAGGTCCTAACGCTTAGGAAGCATCTCCTCCCAGTCCTGTGAAATCTTCCCATATCTGCGAGTTCGCAGCACCGAGACCCTAGGAACGCTCTCGCCACTGCTGCCAAACTGTCTAGTCAGGAGAGGGACTGTCCAGGCTGTAAAGCCGTCAGTCATTTTGACTTTCAGAAAGTGGTTTAGAAGAAAAAATAAAAATGGAGAAAGTGGAGCTGATGATGTGTTTCAGGCAAAATGTGCTGATCGGCTTCCTTCCCCATGTCCAGCCTGCAGACCACTGCTGGGGAGGCCACCGTAAGGCCACAGGCTGAGCCCTGGCTCCAGGGGGCTGCTGAGTATCCCTGTGTGCACTCTCTGCATAGTTCGGGGATGGAGAAGGCAGAGCCGGGAGAGGCACAGTTTACACACTGCGCTGTGAGGGTGGCCCAGCCCAATGTGGTACAAACACATTGTCATATGTGCCGGGGGCATCTCAGAGCTGTTCAACCTTGGTGGAGCATTCAGTGACCCAGAGTGGCCTTCAAGGAGGCTGGGGATTGAACCCAGCTGTGATCCTATAGACACTTCCTCTGGGTGGGTCTTCCCTCAGGCGCTTCCTGAAACAGTTGACTCCAGTAGGTGTTCAGAGAGTTACCTTACCAGCAGCCATTCACAGGTTTACAGTTGGGGGCTGGGGGAAGAGTTCTATCTTGCCAAACTCAAGCCTCTGCTCTTCCCCCCAAACCTGGAGACTCAGAAAAGCTATTTGACACCCACACACCTCAGCCTGCAGGGCCTCATCAGTGTTGCCCTTCCTTTCAGTGTGGTCCTCCTGGAACGGTGCTGTGGCTGCCTCCCTCCCTGCTCTCCTTACCCCTCCCTCCCTCCACACCTCCCTCCCTCCATTCTCTCCTCAGTTCCTTTCTTTCCTCCCCTCCCTGTCCTCACCTCCCCCACCCTTGCTTGGCTCTTAGCCCTTCTTACAAAGAGACCTACATCAGCTGGGCTAGCACCGGCTAGCCTGGACCTCACGGTCCTCCTGCTTCAGACTCCCAAGTGCTAGGATTACAGGCATGCACCTTCAGGCCCAGCTGGAATTCGTCCCAGCTAGTAACGTGCTTGTGTGTAAGCATGAGGACCAACGTTTTGTACCCATTTAAAAACCTAAGTTCGAGACACATATCTCTAATCCCAGTGCTTGTGGGGCGGGGGCAGAAGGAGCTCTGGCTTGCTGGAGCAGCCAGTCTTGATGGATGGCTGAGTTCTGGATTCAGTGAGAGACTTTGCCTCAAAAAACAAGGTGGGAAGCTATTGAGAAAGATACTGAATATTGACCTTTGAACCCCTCAACTGACACACACACACAGACACACACACACACACACACACACACGTGCAATGCATGCATGCACCTACACAGAAACACATAACACACACACACACACGCACACACACACACGCACACACACACACACACACGACTCTTTGGGGCTCAGAGGACAATGAACAGGGAGATTTGTAGGTTACCTTTCACTCTTCTGTACCCCGACCCGCTCGGTCGTCCCATTACCTCTTGTCACTCACCACAGCAGCGTGTTTGGTACCAGAGACGAACCCACGTTAGCACATCGTTACTGCAGTTTGGGGTACACTGTCACCATGTACATCCTATAGATCTGGGCAAATGTCTAGTGACATATGTCCACTGTGAGAACGGCAGAGAGAGTGGTGTCACCGGGGCTTGTTTTCAAGGCAAAAATAATCTGAGAGGCTCCGAGTTCTGTGCTGATTGGACCCGGTACCTGGAAACTGCCTGGAGCTGCGGACGCCCCCGGCCTGCCTTCTGGACTGCTAAAAACAGCCTGGTAAACAGAGGCTCCTCGCTGCCTTCTGTATTTTCAGAGTCCTCCCCAACTGCTACTGTCACCTCACAGCCTTCAGCCGGGCAAATGGCAATGTTTAAAGCTCCCCCTGAGCTGCTGTCAGCCTTGGCCTTTAGAACCCTAGTGTGTGTGTGTGTGTGTGTGTGTGTGTGTGTGTGTGTGTGTGTGTGTGGTGTGTGTGTGTGGTGTGTGTGTGTGTGTGTGTGTTTGTGAGTGTGTGTGGTGCGTGTGTGTGAATATGTGTATATGTGTGTGTGTGTGTGTATATGTGTATGTGAGTGTGTGTGTGTGTGTGTGTGTGTGTGTGTGTGTTAAAACTGTTTCTGGCTCAGCTTCTGATAGGCAGTTCCATAATGCTTCCGGAAACCAGATCAGAACCTTATAGAGCAACAGGAACTAGAAGTTTCTGTATGCATGGGCCTCTTGTGCCCTGCCCCCTGCCTTGGTAGAAATCAGTTTCACACTTGAAAGCTTATCAAAACTTTTAATTGCGTTTTTTATTTTCTTCGTGTGTATGTGTGTACTGTGGGGCGCTTGCAGAGGTCAGAGGACAACTTGTGGAAATGTGTGGGCCTAAATTCAAGTCACGACAACAGCTCCCTGCTGTTCTGATTTGCTTTCTGACAAACACTGTGCCCGGAGGAGGGGGTTTACTTGGCTTACATGTGGGTCACTGTCCACTGAGGGAGGCCATGGTGGGAGCTGGAAGGCGGGTACTGATGCAGAAGGCACGAAGGAGTGCTGATCGCTGGCTTGCTCCTTAGGGACTGCTGGGCCTTCTTCCTGATACACCTCAGGGCCTGGAGTGGTACCGCCCACGGTGGGCCGCAGACTTGCCCTCAGGCAGCCTGGTAGAGAAGCTGATTTATAAAGGTCCCTCTTCCTCGGTAACTTCAGCTTGTGTGAGCTGACAGAAACCAAGGAGGAGACCTTCTGAGCTGTCTCACTGGCTCCAACGTGAGCTTTGATTCCTAGTTATGGTGTGTACTAAAGGAGAAACCAGAAACAGTTTGGGTGAGCACGCCTGCATCACAGACAGCTTGAATGACGGGTCCAAGGCCACACAGTTTCATGGTGGAACTGGGGCTGGAGTTAGGCTGCCTGACTTCCAGGCAGGTCTTGCCACAGAGCCAGCCATCTTTACCAATCCTCACCTCACATAATATGGTCCAGTGATGGGTAAAAGGGCGGGCCCTGCAATCACACAGTCCTGGGTTCAAGTCCTAGCTTTGCCACCGATTAGAGGTACGTGAGCACTCAGCCGGCTTACTGGCTGTCCCAGGAGGCTGTACAGTGGGAAGAACTGACCTCTCTGAGCCTCTGCTTCAGTCAGCCTAGGAAGGAGCATTCATAGTGAACTGTTTGACTCACAATGCTGACATCAAATGATTACCCCCATACACACACCCAGAACACTCATGTCTCCATTTCTCAGGACACCAACTATCTTATCGTTCATTTCAACTCAGATGCTACCCTCCCCGAGTCAGTGCAGAAGTCTCCCGGAACCACGTTGTCTGACCAGACTATAAGCCACAAGTCTCTAACCCCTACCCTCAAGTTTCCTCACTTTGTAGAAAGGCTCTCGGGCCCCAGGGAAGCCCTTCACTTCTTCTCTTAGCTCACACTTTCACAAGGTTCAGCCCGTGGTGGCTTGGCCTCTTGCACTGGGACAGAGAGCATCACAGTGAGAGTTCCCTATGAAGAAGGCCACCTGGGAACTGCCCACAGAAGAGATGTGTGAGGAAGGGAAAGGGGGAGGGGCACATGTGAAGTCTCCACCCCTTTTCAGACACACCCTGCTTTACCACCACCCTGTTGGAATCACCAGTCTGGAAGCTTTCCGAACCCTGTTCTTGTGAGTTTGGGTAGCGCTTTTGGTATAAACATGACAGGTTGACCCGCTGTCAACTGGTGGCTGAGCGAAGCCCCATCCAGCTGCCTCTCCCTGGAGGCCAGAGAGTGGGGATGATACCTCCAGCTCTCTGTGTTCTCGCTCTTGAGTTACTTAGCCGTCCCTCCGCCCCCATCCCTGGCATAGAAAAGCTACTCTCCCCACTGTAAGGATTCCAGATGTGCCAGGACCTGGGTAGACACTAAACGTGAATTTCTTACAATCGGGCTCTGCCACCTGGCTGGTGGGTGATAGTAGACTTGTGCCCGAACCCTACAGTGCTATCATCATCACCTCTGTCCTCATCACCATCCTCATCAAAGGGTCCCCGAGAGCCGGATCATCACAGTTGCACTATCCCAGTATAGGTTGTCTGCTGTGGTTCTGGTTCATTTGTACACTGAATGTAGC